GTAATTCCTTAGATAAGTACTATCTTTCCCACTATACTCCAAACTCCATAAGAATGGGAATCATGTGTATTTTTGTTTCTCCTTATTTCTGTAGTGCCAAGTCCAGTGCCTGGAACATGGATGCTCTGTATTTATTGAATGGATGAGTGATTGAATGAGTGAGGAGGGAGTGATTGAATAGAGCCATTTCAAATGAGACCATCCCCACTCTGTAATAGAGTTATAGGTTTGTCTTAACATATCTGCTGGTATGACAGTATTTTAATGCCAAACAATAACCCAACATGTAGAAACAAAATAAACCTTATAACTGCCTCTAGAGAAACTGATTTCCCTCAATGAAGATACCATCAAGCAAGCTTCTAACCAGAAGTCGAATTAATCTCCAAAGTTTTTGCCATCCAAAGTTTTGTGATTCTAGATTTTGGTGCATAGAAAGGGTAGCTTAAGCAAATAGGATTCAGACACTCTATGGGGAAGAAAAGCCCTGGAAGAGACCACTGTGGGATTTTAGCCTGTGAAGGTCACCTCATTCATTTCCTTCTGTTCCAACAGAAGCCTCTTTTTAAGTCCATATTTTGGATGATCATAATTTTTCCTGCATCAAAGATTGCCATGTGGTAGAGGTTCTCCAACTTTTAAAACTCTCTCAGTTCCAAGATTCATTGAAGTTCTTGTTTCCAATTTTTATCTTTCCTCAATTTAATGTTATTTTCTTATGCTTCTCATGGCAAGGATGGAAGTACAGTAGTCCAGAGGTATCCAAAGAGTTTTTAATGTAAGTTATTGTTTGTATTTGTTATAGTTGTTTGAGAGCAAGTCCCCATATTTTATAGTACAGTGCCATCTGTGACAGAATCAGTTTCCTATTATACTTTACATGGGAAACTCTTGGCATTTGGATGTTAAGGGTCTTGTCGGACTGTGGGGTTCCTAAGCATTACAGCCATACCCTTCAGTGTAGGGGTTTGGTTTCCACCTGAACTATGGGCTAATAAATGGTATCAATCACAACTGAGTCCTGAGGATCACCTGCAAATGAAATGTATTCCTTGGAGAAGGAATCAGTATTAGTGGGAAGATTCTAGGATGTTTGGGACTGAGGTTTCTGTAGTACTGACTAGGAAGAAAACCCTGCCCTCAAACCCTTGTTCTCTGAGGTTGGAGGTAAGAGGTGCCTACCTTGTGAAAACACACCAGGGACAGAGAAGAAAGGAGCCAGATTTCTGCTGTTTTGGAGCCTGGAATTAATAAAGATAGAGCTCATGAGTCCCAGAGAAAAGTTGACTGTTGACTGGGAGATGTACTACAGAAGCTGGACTGTTGGGGCTTCTGGCATTTTCCTCTGCTTCTCTCAGTGTTTTAGGTAGTTATTTATATGCTTTCTTCCTGCTCTCTGTACTATACCCAGGAAAAACCAGCAATGGTCTTTGTGGCCCTCTTAGATCAGAGTATTTAAAAGAGAGTGGCATATACTTGGGACTGGGCATGTGGTAGTTGAGCCATAAGAAAGAGGTAGACTGTACCTTTAGGCTCACTATTGGGGTACTGGAAGCAAGGGCTTCCCTCCTGTATGCCCTCCTCTCCAAGATCTTCTTTACTATCATCTGGGATTTCCCACCTTCTGTTTTTTTCCAAGGGAGTGACAGTGGTAAGATCAAGCCCTAAGGCTCTAAGGAGAAAGGAGAGACTCAAAAGGCCCAAGTTGGAGGGTGATCACAGTCTCTTCCTTCACCCACAGAGCGTCTCTCTTCAGTGCAGTGGGTTTATTCTCTCAGGGAAACAGCTTTGTTCTTTTAAAAAATACGTTTATTTTATTTATCTATCTATTTATTTATTTATCTATTTAATTTTTATGTGGTGCTGAGGATCGAACCCAGAGCCTCACACATGCGAGGCAAGCACTCTACCACTGAGCCACAACCCTAGCCCAGCTTTGTTCTTCACTGGGTACTTCATCATGGGTCAGCAAAAGACCTGTCAAGATATAGGTAGATTTCCCAGCTGGTAGTAGGCAGTGGTAGGGGGCCTCTAACACTACTCATTGGGTTCTCTCTAGAGCCAGCCCCTAGGCAAGGCAAGCCTTGACTAAAAGATTCCTGGTCTGGGATCTGATGCAGATTATTTGTGAAGGCCAGAAAACCCTTTTTGTCAGCTCCCTGCCTCCTCATTCCCAGGGATGCTGCCTGTGAAGGTGGTGAAAGATAGGCCCAGGTAGTAAGACAGGAGCTCCTTCCTCCATAACTCAATGCAAAATCCCTCTGCCTCATCTTTTGCCACTAGCAGAGCTGGGTATAGAAGGCAACTGGTTGAAGGTCTTCAGGCAGCAGACTTGGGCTGAATACTAGAATCTGGGTCACTTTAGACGTTGACCCATTTATGAACTGGGATTTTGGGCCCAAAGAAGGCCTTGATTGTCAGAGTCTGGGGCTTCTCCATTAGCCCCTCCCACAATCATGCTTCTCCACTCCCTGCAGGGTGCGGGGGTG